CCCGTACCACCAAACCAACCACGGAGTAACCCCAGCCACTAACCCTGCACCCCAGCAGGGAACAGCTCTCTCCAACACTGCTGGCACCCAGAAACTCCAACAGCTTCTCCCCATCACCAAATTTATCCCAGCCAGCCCCTCCCACACCCACCAGTGCTCCCAGTCTCAGGAGCACCTGCGCTAGCTGGGCTTTAAACCCTTCCTTGCTGGGGTTAAAGCAGAGTGAAGCCAGGGACAGCCTCTGGGTAACGACCCGTCCTCACCGCTCCCCGGCACAGGGGATAAATCCCTGGGTGCCCCCCACCATGGGCTGGCACAAGGCACCTCCGAACAAAACCCCCCGAGCAAACACAGCCTCCTTGTTTAGACCGTTAGGGCATCTCCTCTGGCCTCCGGAAAATAATTAGTCACCCTCGTTAGGAGAGCAAACAAACGAATTTGGGCTGGCAGGGAGGCCTCGCCGGGCTCATTTGCGGAAGACTCGGCAGGGCAGGGGGGTGAAGGCGATCCCGCCGCACGTGAAAAGCAGAATCCAGGCTGCGAGACCCCTGCTCGCCCAGCCAGTCGCGGCGGGGGCTGCCGAGGGGCACCTCCCTCACGGGCTGTTGGACACCATTAGGAGATATTCGTGCCTTGGCACCGACATGCGGGATCAGAGGAGATGGGGACGGCGCAGGCGGGCACGGCACAGCTGCAAGTGGCTTTGCTGGAAAAGGCAAAAGGATGCAGGCTCTGGTGGGGGGGATCGGGACGTGGCAGAAGAAAAGCTGTGTCTGGGTAAAGGGAGGTGGAAGGAGAGGTGTTATGGGGGTGAACAGTCCCTGACGTGCCTGGAGCTGAGACCTGACAGCTCATCACAGCACGTGGGCACAGTGCCCCACTGTCCGCCTTCCCCCGCTCGCCCCGCGGCACACCACAGACCACGGGTGCTTTGTTACCGTCATTAAGCTTTTATTTCCACTGTCACAAAGTTCCTGGGTTTCGTTTTGTCATCTTTTGTTTTTAAACCGTTTCGTTTGCTTGGTTTGCTCTTGAATTCATCTCAAGACAAGGCAGCAGGGCATGCAAGCCGAGACACCGGCACGGACGCACAAACAGGCTTCATCTTTACAAACAAGGCTCTTTGCTGGAGCTGCTGGTTCTCGGCCCGGGGCTCGGCTGCCCCCGGGCAGGGGGCCCACAGGATACGGCCCCCGGGCCCGGGACTGGCGGCCGCAGGAGCAGAGAGAGAGAAGGAAAGGATGGCTTCCACCCAGCGCTGCTGGAGCAGCCGGGGCTGGCACTTGTGACCGAGACCCCAGAACTGCTCTGTAAGGCGACCCCCAAGCTGCCGCGCTGAGACCGGGGTCCTTTGCCCCCAGCCCTCGCTCCTGCCCAGCTGACCACCGCTGGTCCCCTCCTCTCCAATGCCCCTGTGAAGGAGGGTGCCCGATGCCCTCTCAAAATACCCCCAGATCCCCCCCTTTACCCCCGGACTGGGGACGATGGGACAGCGAGCTGGCTGTGGGTCACCCACCCACTCC